GGAAATAAGTACTATTATCCTTCCTCCTTTATTTGGAGATGGAGCAAGTTGCCCAAGGTGACACACTGAGTCAGAAGCCACCCAAAGCTCCTTGCTTCTAGTCCTACCTGCAGATTTCCTATGTGATCCTGCCCTTATTAAAGATGTTCCGACTTTCTGGTGGTAGACTTCACAGAGGAACAGCCAGCGCACACTGTCCCTCCTGACAGCACACCCTGAGGAGAGGCAAGCCCATGTCCCTCACGCAGACAGGAGGGTAACAGTGTTCATCCAGCTCCTGCCAGCTGATGCCTGGTGCAAAGGAAAAGGTTTGGCAAGGCAGGGTGGTATACAGCACTCTCACTCCCAGCTATAGACCGGGCTCTTGCTCCCAGTGGGATTTGCTTTCTTTTGCACATGTCAGAAAATGAGAATGAGTGGGCCAGGGATGTCAGCAGGGAACAGAAGGAATAACGCTAGCACCAGTGGGGAACAATTTAAAAGGCCAAGAGGCAAGGCTAACATTTGAAATCACCAACAAATCCCTGGAGTTGTCAATATTATTGAGTATTTTCTGCCACCCTCCTGATGTTTCTCTTTTCTTCTGAAATAGATGTTCCAAGAAGCAGGGTAGTATTTTTAAAGCTATGCTCCTGGAGCTTGGCATTCAAAATGGGCATTATCAAGGCAGGTCCTAATGCAAGCTGACTAGCCCTAGCAGTGATGCTGCCCTCGGTGCTGGGAGGCAGGGGCTGGTCAGGGTGAGCATCTTCTGTGATGGATGCAGGGATTTTGCTGCCAGGAGTGGTCCTGGGGTAGTCAGTGTTCAGTACTCCTTCAACAGCCGCTTCACAAGAGAAAAAGACGCAAACACAGAAGCCACGACGATGGGGAGAAGGAATCAATTTAGGAACATCAGAAGCTCATTAAGTACCTCCCTGTAAGTCACTTAGTTAATCTCTTTTCCCTCAACGTCCCCCTGGAAATCACCGGTGATGACACTCAGAGTTAATCATCAGAAAGCAAGATTTATCTTGGTTTTATCCCAGCAAACAGCAGAGTGCCACAGCAGCCACTCAGCCACAGCTACCTACATTCCAACAGGACAGCCTTGGTTACCAGCAACGCTGCCCTCCCAGTACAACATCAGTCCTCCTAAGGCACAGCCAGCAACACACACCTCCCCTGGGACAGACACACATACCCCGTGCATAGACGTGTATTTTCAAGGCTGCCACGTGGCACTGCCCCAGAACCCCCCAGTGCTGCTGGTGGCATCATTCGCTCCCACCGGAGAGGTGGTGCTGTCCTAGTGAAGCAGCCCTGGGCACTCTCCTGGCATACTCCACACCCTACAGCCTTCACATGCCTCTCAGAGGCTCTGCAAACCTTGGCTTGCTCCTGGCTGTGATGCCAAACACTGCTGATGGACCAGCCAGCAGGGGGAAACATTCAATATTTTATCCATCGTGATACAGACAGCCTTCAGTCCTGTGCACACTTACTTCAGGTTGCTGCTCATGCCAACACGGTTGTCACTCAGCATCGTTCCACCTCTCAGTTATGACCCCCAAACTCATATGTCTGCTAATGTTACAACAAGCTTTGAATGTTTTAATGTCCATGGGAGGAGATGGCAGGGCAGGCAGCAGCATCCTCAGCAGCACTGCTGCAGAAGCATCCCTTACTCCTGAGCACTCACAGGTCATCCTGCCCCTGCTGTGATCTGTGTAAGGCCCCAGCACACTAACCAAGGTAATAAAACAAACAAAGAGTAAAGGAAAGATTGAAGATGTGACTCCAGAGGGGATGAAAAGGAAAACAAAGGGAAGAAAGAAAGAAAAGAAAAAAGATAAAGATGGTCACACAGCAGAGTGTATTTACAAGACAGGAACATAACCACTACTTTTCATTACGTACTTGTCAAAGAGCAACATTTTTTTTTCCGAGATCAGTCCTTCAAATGTTACTAACACAAGTGACTGCAGTGGTATTTTCATCTAGGCCTTTTTTTTTTTTTCCTTTCTTAACACAAAGAAAGTTCAGCCAGCCAAAGAAGAAACCTACAAGTACTTTTTATTTCATTATTTTGAAGGCCTGATCCCATGAGTTTTACAGGTATGAGGCTGGCAGTAAAGGCAGTAGATAGATTCTGTTCATTTCTACTATGCTTTCTAGAGGAACCAGAATAACAGAGAGATCATCTGTTCGGTAGTTGGTCTTTACAGGGCCAGAAATCTGTGCAATTCAGCCACAGCTCAGCTGTTGGAAGGCACGATTATCTAGAAATAGGACAGGCTTGAAGAAAAAGAAAATTGAATATAACCAAAGCACAAAAAAAATGGCCATCTGAATAGGAAAGGCATGATTCTGCATCTTGATACACCTCTGCTACCTCAGTTACAAGAGGTAGCTTCACTTCATAGTTTGTTACATGAACTAGCCAACAGTCAATTACTTTGCTTTACCATTTTCTTTTAAGAAATACTGCTGAACTTCCTCTATTTCCATTCACTATTTCTCCACCCACAGAATGCCTAAGTCAGAATGGTATTTTTTCCAGACATTAGCAGTTAATAAACATTTAAGTGTTTTCAGAATCTATATACCATTCAAAAAAAAACCCACCAAAAAACCATTCCTTTGGAAGAGAATCCACTTATCGATAACATTTGCACACAGAACAAGGCCTGTCTGGTTAAAAAAAAATATTTTGAAAGTATAATCTAACCTGCATCTTACTGCTCACGCTATTTACCTTGTGCAACTCACTCTGCCATGGACAATGAGAACAGACCAGTCCTTGCCAGATTCACATCACAGAGCAAATGCTTTCGTTTCCCACCCCTCATGCACCACACACTGCTTTTAAGGTTTAGCACTGCAGAAGTTCCATCAGAACCTCCTTCTAACACCTGAGACAAAGGAAAATTCAAACATATTCACCATCTCACCTCAGAGTCCCATTCCCCACAAGACTGACCTTCTTTTAAGAACAGCTTCAGCTTATCAGAAATCCAGATGAGTAATATAGTGATGACAAACCTACACCAGAGAGCTTTCAGAAGAATTACTAACTGGTTCTTGCCAACCAATCAATTTCCATGAAGTGCTCACTTGACTATGTCATTACTTGCAAGGGTGCTATCAAACTGAAACTGAGTCATTGTTTTAAAAAAATCATTTAAGAGCAGTTCTGGATACTAAAGCAGCTCCCAAGTCCCTACTGCCAAATGGCATGTTCTTCTTCACAAGAAGGTGATGCTTCCTCCCTCACATCCAAGAAAAAAGGTGCCACTCGTTCTGATAACGGACAATACTAATGAACCATACAAAGGAAATAATGGGTTACTTCACGCATTTGACAGCTTACTGCAGTTTTAAAAGATTAGTGAAGATGAAAATGTATTTCCTTTATCTCAAATTATTTCATTTTAGGTACTTGGAGCAATTATAGCTAACATTTTGCGGACAGAAGTGTGGTTCTTGAATTACAGCATCCATTTCAAAGCAATACTCAAATTAATCTAGCCAATTTTTTCAGCCCTGAAGTCCATAAGGTTATGGTTTGACAAGTTCCAGTTTCATCTGTCACCAAATTAGACATAAATATTCCTGCACCAGTAAAGTGCTAGGGAATGAGGCAACCTCCCCTTGAGGAGACAGCTCCTTTCCTCCCCACTCAGCCCGTGAGCTAAGAGCTCTTCACCCCAGCAAAAAGGTGAAGGTGATGTGCTAAATGAGAGCTTTGGGGAGCCCAAAGCATTTGTCACATTTCACAGCTTCCTTTCAGGAGAGAGCCACCAATTGCCAGGATGGCCAGGGGAGCAGCTCCACAGCAGCCGTTGGTGTCCGGCCCTGGCTGTGGCATCCCTGCCTCCTCCCCTGCCAGCCCTCCCTCCCCTCATCTGTCTGAAATCTAACTTCGGGGAAAAAGAAAAGCAATTAGTGCTCAGCCAGATGAGCCCCCTGAGGCCTCTCACCACGACCTTGGCAGCTCCCTCAGGAACAAAAAGGAGGAGGAAACAAAAGGATGGAAAGAAAGGTGAGGCTTTGGACTTGCAACTGCTGTAAGCCATTATGGGACCGCACCTTCCAGTTACAATCAGACATTTTTTTTTGACTGTGAAATGAAATTAAGCTGTGAACCCAACGCTGTTGCCAGGAATTCAATGCATCAAATGGCTACCCTTACAAACAGCCCCTTGGCCATCAAAGTCCTCGAAGAGGCTAAGGGCACCACTCCAGAGGACATCAAAAAAAGGACCTCCCTGCAACACCACAGGATAGTGCCCTGGCTCAGGGGGATGTCCCAAAGTCAGGAACACCCTGTGGTTAACCCTCACAATGGAGCAGTGCCTCCCACCCAACAAACTCCTGGCTCACAAGGCAAGTTAGCTGCCCCTTTACTGTTGGGTTGACCAAAGACAGCCTTAACAAGTCTCATCTGAGATTCAGAAAGCCTTTGTAACAACTACTGTAACAACACATCTTAACCACTCCAAGTCCACAGACAGATCGTTTTCCTAGTATTTTCTTGGGTTTTGTGTGAAACACATTACATTTTCCTGGGTTAGTGTTTTGGACCCAGCAAACAGTTACTGCAGCTTCACTGATCCATAATAGTGATAAAACTCCAGGATATTAGCAAATATATGGAAAGTCACAACATGTATTTCAAATCTTGATACCCCAGGTGATCTCCATTCATCCCCCCTCCACACTACAGCAGCAGCAAAGAGGATGTCACATCTAAAACTCCAAACGCAAAATGAAAACAGGACACATAAAACATAGCAGGGGCTAAAAATAATAAAGGACAGTATATCTTAAATTTATGTTCTACTTTTCTTTTTCTACTGACAAATATAACTTCAGCAAAAGATCTAACTACAGGGAGTATTAGAAGTGACATCAGAAGTTTTTCCAACAGTTGCCTGTACCGGAGCTCCTCGGGAGGCTTTGCTGCAGACCCAAATAGCACAAGGAGAAAGAATTTGGTGCAAGGGGCTCACACTCACCGTCTGCAAAGTTTCTTCCTGTCTTCTGCTTTGGCTCTGTCGGTTGATAAAGGAGCGTGTCGAGAGTTTGTAATGGTTCAACAAGCAGATGATCACTACCACCATAACAGTTATAACCACAATTATAATGATGATTTGCACAAACTCCAGTTCAGCTGAAACAAAGAAAAAAAAAGGAAAATATGTCAATCACACAGAATGTTATCTATCAAAGCAATAATCTGAAAAACCTTCAGTATTTCATCAGGATTCATCTGAAGTAAGATCTTCACTGCTGTCCATTTCACAAAGTTTTGCATAGAAAACTATGTTCTAAAAAGTATGAAAATTATTCATTTTTGGCAGTGCCAATCAATCGGTGTGAGCGACTGAAGATCAAAGCTAAGAAACTTCTTGGTGATCCTTCTCTGCAGCCTTCACAGGTAATAAATTCTTCAGCATCAACACCACAGACAAGCCTTTTGGATAAGACAACAATTTCACTGGGAAAAAAAAAAAACAAAACCCCAAACCAAACACACACACACAAAACCCACCCTACTTTAATAGCCACCTGCAATGCCGACAGAGTCAAGAGGGCTCCACGTACTTAAAAGCAGAGACCACAGAGAGAGGAATCAAGACCTTGTCAACTGAACTATCCTTAATTTTTTTATCAGCTTAAACAGCACAAACACTACCTAAATCAAGTAGAAAACAAACTTTTTTTCCTATTAAATCTACATGTAGCACCTTTTTCAATTACTTCTTTCCAACTAGCATAAAATTAACTTTTCCAGGGCGTTCCCATTCAGGTAAAAATCTAAAAAGAGATCTGGTACTCTAAAACAAGATATGTTCCACTATGGTTAAAAATGAAACCAGGGCCTTGGCTGTTGCAAGAGATACAATTATAATGAACTCCATCACAGTTCACCATCTTATCTGAAGTCCTGCCTATACCACAAATATGAAGTATATTTAGAGATGAGTCACTCTTGCACCCTTTCGGCTGTACTGGAGCAGCAAGGATGAGCAACGTAAGAGGGGAAATTGCCCTTTGGAGTTACACAGTTGCTGGTATTTCTATGGAAACTGCATTGCTCACAGGGGATGCTCTCATCTTGAAAGACAACTCCAGTTAATGGGAGGAGGTCTTTGGTTGCTAGGTTTGCAGAACAAGCAAAGAAGCAGTGCAAGTTGCTCAGTTTCAGCGCTTTCCAAAAATGACGCCACGATTGGGTGCCAAAACATGAACTTCAGGGAACTGATAATAAATTTCTTTTGTAAAAAGCCAATGAGGAAAGAAAGATAGTGAAATACAAAAATGATTACTCAAAGCAGACCAGAGAACACAAGCTTTGCACCCCCCACCTTATCTCTTTGATTCGTAGTCATCCTCAGCCTTCTGTGTAACAGCAGTACGCTTACGCAAACACAACACAACTATGAAACTAAGCTAGAAAAATGCTGTTTACACATAGAACGACCTGCGGCGGAACTAAAGGCTAAAGGAAACCCAAGGCTGTTCCACTACTCGAAGATCTCTTGCGAACAAGACCTCACACTACAGGAGCTGCAGGTGCACTGGGGTCCAGTGGAGGCCAATGTCAAGGTCCAGCTCTTTGTCACAGTAGACATGGACACGCCACCATCAAAGTGCTGAGGTTCTGCCACCGCCTCAGTAGGAGGAACTAAACTAATTTAAGGCTGAGGAAAAAGTAAAGAGCAATAATACATCTACTATTTAATTTCTCTTTGATGTTAAGTACCATCCACTCATCATTAAGACCACCAATGATTTCAGAAAGTTTGATTAGTCAGTGCTTTGCTTTTGCTATCAATCCCATATACAGCAATCTTTTTTTCCCCTCTCGAGTCATTGGAAGCTAACAATGTCAGCACCAAAAGATCAAAAAGCAACAAGCATAGAATTAATTAACAAAAAAGAAAAACACCAAAACCATGCTTAAGTAAAAAGTCAATTCTTCTTGGCTCAGAAGCAGGGAATACAGACTTGACACAGCTGACAACCTCTGCAATTCACATTCTGTGGCTACTAAGTATCAAAGGATTTATTTACCCCAATTTTTTTTTGTGGGGGGGAGGGGGGTCCATGTAATACTTCAGACTGGAAGCTGCGAGACTGTTGCTAAAGGGCAATACGCAAAACAAGCAATGTTGATTTAGGCTTTCCTAGAATGCAAAGATCACTAGGATGACATGTTACTTCTCTATCTGCCAAGGGCAGACTCTTCTAAATTTATCAAGGCCCCAGCATTTCAGTGGCAGGGGACAGTACCTCTCCTTTGGAAATAAAAGGAGCTGAGAATTTCCCTTGGGGGTGGGGGGGTGCAGAATAATTTAGAAATGTTTGACTAAAACATGGCTATATAATTAAAAAAAATAAATCACAGTACACAGGTGTGAGCACACAGGATATTCCAAGTCCAACTTTACATCGCAAATGCCAAAATGCAACAGAACACCCTACTGATGTTTAAGAGGATTTCCTCACTGGAAAGCGGAGGGAAAGGAAAGGGGAAGGTGATTTTTAATCTCTTCTTCCTCCTGACTGGCCCTCCGGCTACTCATTAAGTTATTAAGAGGAAAAAGAACAGAAACAAGAGGGGCAGACAGTCTCTATTCACTGGCGCTGCTCAAGGCAACTCAAGCAGCGTCTGGCGGCTGCCAAGAGGCTCCGGGTGACTCCGGCCCCACTCGCCTCCTGCCCCACCGCCGGCCGCCTTCCTGCCCAGCGCCTCCGCCTGCCCGCTCGCCCCACTAATTAACTGGGAAAGAGACTGGGGGGGAGCTTCGGGAAGAGAAATGGTACGGTTTTACCTCCCCGAGTCTCTGTGTCACACTCATAAATCATATTTCTAACACGTTCTTACCCGGGAGAATATTTCCCCTGGTAAACAGAAAAAAACACCTTCGCAAAACAGGATGAAAACAAAATAAATAAATTTATAACGCTATCAACAGGCACGCAAGCGAGAGCCTCCGGGCCGTCCCCGCACCCCCGGCAGCCAGCCCCTCCCCGGCGCCCCGGGCTGTAACTGGGGTTCCCCTCCGGTAACCCGGGGACGGAGCCGGCAGCAGCCCTCCCCGCGCAGACACACCGGACAGACGGACGGACAGACGGGTACCTCTTTCCAACAACAGGTCTTTTAACCGCGCATCCTTCACCGCTGTCCTGTTAAGCTGCTCACTGGACATGCTCGCCTCCGGCGGAGGGGGGGCTCAGGCCGCTCCGCCAGCCCCCCCAGCGGGCGCCGCATCACCGGCAGCCCCGGGCTCCATCGGGCGAGGGGACACCGTCGGCGGGGCCGCCCGTTCAGCCTCAACGCGGGGACTGACAGCCTCGGCCGCCTGCCGGCCCGGCCCCCTCCCCAGCGCACCGGGGGGGGCCCGGCCCAGCCCAGCCCCGCCGCCACCGGCAGCGGGCGGCGCGGAGCGGGCGGGCAGGGCCGGTACCGGCCGCTCCCGGCCCCACTCCCTTCCTTCCTCCCTCCCCCGTGCCCCCCGCCACGCGTGTGCG